ACTTTGTTACTGATGGGAAGGCGAACATTGAAGCGCGCTTCTGTTTTTGGCGTACTTTAACGATAATGTGCCGCACGTGTTTGAGCAGGTGCCCGTTTTCCGGGGTGACGGCGAAGATTTCTAGGTTGCTTGATGCTCCTAGCAAGACGTGAGTTAGTGTCATGTCTCTGAATAGGTATTCCGTCGCCCATTCTCGTAGGCACGAGTGCGTTAGATTGGCGTTTTGGAGATGGCGTTTGCATCCTGGTTTGATCTCGTCAACAGATGCGGGCGTTAGGTACGACACTATCAGTTTTCTGAGCTCGGATGGTAGCGTGGTGAGGGTGGGACGCGGACTCGATGCTTGTTGTTCGGGAGGCTGCATGCTTCGTGGATCCGCGATGGGTTTTATCCCGCTGCTAAGATGGTGAGTAGTAGGGTTACTGGTCAAAGCACTTTCTGAGAGTTGAAGTAAATAGGATGTCGAATGAAGGGTTCAGTTTGTGCGTTTGAAGAGGTTCCATGAATGCAGTATAAATTCAACTGTATTGTTATCGTGTAAGTTGCTTTTGCTTACGCTTACTTAGGCTGGCTGCCTAAGGTAGGATATCACAGTGAATGCGCTGCATCCCTGCTATTACCCCAGCTGCCTCGGCTAACCACGGTCCATGGCGATGAAGCCGCCAGACTTCAACATACCCGGTACCGACGCCGTAGCTCTGGATTATTTTGCCATAGTTTTAGCGGACCTGGGACCCTTCTAAATTCCTTGTATACCTTCCGTCAAAACTACCCAAGATGCCCCTCTTCCGCCCCTCTCCCCGCATCTTCTCCCGCGCCCTTCAAGCTCGCACCTACGCGACCGCACAAAGCCCAGCAATCAACGTCACAAACGTACCCGCACCTCACTGCGGTAGCATAAGGATCCTCTCCTTGAACCGCCCGGCAGCGCGCAATGCGATATCACGGCAATTGCTCGCGGAGCTGAGCCACCAAATCAACAGCATACAGGAGGAAGGCGACAACGGGTCAACGAGGGCGTTGATCCTCGCGAGCGATGTAGACTCGAGTTTCTGCGCAGGCGCAGATCTAAAGGAGCGTGCGACATTCACACCAGAAGAGTATGTCAGGCCCGAAATATTCCCTTTACACTTAAAAAAAAACAGCGCGAATGCTAACAAGCAGCTTACAGTACAGCCACCTTCCTTGCATCATTGCGGGGAACATTCGCATCGATTTCGCAATTGCACATCCCCACAATCTCTGCGCTTGCAGCGCCGGCTTTTGGTGGCGGCCTCGAGTTGGCTCTCACTACGCATATGCGCATCTTCGCTTCCACCACCACCGTCGCTCTCCCTGAAACACGTCTCGCGATTCTGCCCGGAGCAGGAGGAACATATCGCCTCCCTGCCTTGATCGGCCTGTCGCGCGCGCGAGATATGATTTTGACCGGGCGAAGGGTCGCGGCACCAGAGGCCTATTTCCTCGGGCTATGCGACCGATTGGTAGAAATCACGGCAGAAGACGTACAACAAGAGGGCGCAGCGAGGAAGAAGGTCCTGGACGAAGCGATAAAGTTGGCACGGGATATATGTGAGGGAGGCCCGATCGCCATCAAGGCTGCGCTCGCAGCAGTGGAAGGCTGTGCTCTGGGCGAGAAAGCTGAGAACGCTGCGTACGAACTCGTGGTCAGGACCAAGGACCGCGATGAGGCGCTTCTCGCGTTTAGAGAGAAGCGGAAACCTGTCTTCAAGGGTGAATAGATGTTCCTGCAAAGCGCCAAATAAAGTCACTTTGCTCTCTCATCATGCTTCGATTCGTTCTATACATGCTCTTTTACATCTTACTCTTGATATCCTCCAACAGCTTGCTCAGTTCACTCTTGTCCGCCTCCTTGGTCGGCCACTGAATGCCCAGCCCCTCCTGCTCATTCGGCTTAGGAATCAGATGAAAGTGCACATGGTCCACCATCTGATGCGCAATCCTTCCATTGTTCTGCAGGATGTTGTAGTCTTGGATGTTTTGCGCAATGGCAATGCGCTTTGTAACCGACAGCACCTCGGAGAGCTGGTCGTCTGGGATGTCGTGGAGTTTTGCGCCGTGGTGTTTAGGGATGATGAGCTAGAAGGGAACGCTCGTTAGATTCATGTGTTTTCCCTTGTTGCAGAGATGGAGACATAGGATGTAGGACATACAGAGTGGCCCTTGCTCAAAGGCCCAATGTCGAGAAACGCAAGTGTCTTGTCGCTTTCAAAGATCTTCATCGAAGGGATCTCGCCTGCAGCAGCTTGTTAGTATACCGTAACCAGCTAGTCCGAGTCGTGCTTGCCCTTGATGATCTTGCAGAAAATGCATGCAGCGGAAGACATTGTGGTACTCTTGAATGATGATGTTGGTTGGCTGGGTACGTGGTCTGGTATGGTAGCAATTGAAGATGACGCAGGGTTGAGCTTCAGGACCAAGTGGGGTTGACCGAGGGACATGTGGGGTAGCTACATGTCTAGCGGGACGCTTCCGCTTTCGTGCTCGACGCGGTGTTGTGATGCTTTTACAGTCTACATCTAGTTGCAGTACGACAATAACTCTCGTCTTGCTGTATCGAATACCTCCAGGCTTAGACATAGCGCCTGTTTTTCAAACACCAGAGATAGTGGTATGCGCATCGTGGTCGCGACAAAGTCTGCTCACCATATGCTCAATCATGGGTTTGCTGAGAAGGGAAATGGATATTACTGTAAAACCCGTCCACTAGCCCTCTAGCTATGGCTTGCAAGTGTGGTATTCTTGCGTGTCATAACGTCTTCCACTTCCACGCCTCGCATTCGAAATTTGCGTAGCATCTAAACTCATTACTCAACCCTTTTGCGTGCATAATCTCAAAATCCGTTGTCTTGGTTCCTAGTCGCCCGTAAAGCTGCTCAGTGACCAGACTCTCCATGCGCTCTCCAGTGCACACGATGAGCCGAAGCGATTCCTGCGTCCAGGACTTGGCTAGCCACCGTACAGTCAGGGCAGCTATTTGGTTGTTAGATAGGCCCGATGGTCGGCGACGGTTGATGTGGAGAATTTACCTTTAGTTTGGCAGTCTTGACTCAGGAATGGTGGATCGCATATAATCGCATCGAATGTGCCTTTCAACTCAGGTGGCAGTTTGAATGTCTTCTCAAAGTCGTACGGAACAAACTCTTTGAACACGGCGAAACGCTCGTCAAACTCGAGCAATTTGATCTCCGGTCGGCATTTGACTTCTCCTGAGTTCTGCTTGAAGGTTAGCTCAATTTTTTTTTCCATGCAATTCTTCCAACACATACGAGTAGGTTCTTCAGCTGTATGAAGGCGCTGGGCGCCGACACAACGGCTATCCGCGTATCGTCGGTTGCGCCCTCCAGAAGTTGCTTTGCAAGTACCATCGCGGTCTCATCGTTGTACCAGAACTGACTTGCATTCCAGTCCTCTGTAAACGCATCCATGGAAAGCTTGCCCTCAAAGTCATCTTCAGCCTTGACTTTCAGATCCTCAAACTGCTTTGCGCGTTCATCTCGCTCGCCGTAGAATTGCTGTAAAGCGGCTAGGGCGTTGCCTGAAAGCTGTCTTTACCGTTTTAGTACACATTACGTTAGCCTATCGGAACTGCTCACGGGATATCGTCGTCGTCTTCGATTAGCGGCACCATGTTGATTTCCTTGGTATTTTTTTCTTTGGCAGGTGCAGGCCTCTGGAAGCGAAATAATCGCAGTGTGTATCTAGGCCGTAATGGATGGTCTGGATCTCACCCCACTATCGATAAGCGATGAGCCTCGGTAAGTGTTGTTGAGCTGACACCCGGGGTAAGAGCTACCATGCTGCGCTCGCGACTGCCATGTCTGTTAGCTACACTCAAGTCACGTCGGTTATATTCGAATATGGTAGAGTCTTTAGTATCTCTCCCAGAGATTGAGAAGTTGAGTGATCGGGTGATTAGGGTTCTTGGCGGTAATCCAAGCAAGGTGAGAGCCTCTATCCGAGTAGACGACTTGTTCTGACAAACTTCAAGTTCACGCTGCAAGGTTCGCGCGTCGCAACTCATTCAGGAACTCATGTTAAGCAGTATAGGCACGAATACATATGTCGTCGGTCGCGGCGCATCAAGACTCCTCATCGACACAGGCGAAGGCAAACCACAATGGATAGCATCCATAAAGTCGCTGCTTGCAGAGAAGAACATTGCGATTGACAAAGTGCTATTGACACATTGGCATCCTGACCACATCCAAGGAGTTCCCGACCTCCTCGAGCACGCGCCAAACACCAAAGTCTACAAAAACGATCCCCACGATGACTGGCTCCCCATAAGCGACGGGGAGAAGTTTGAAACCGAAGGCGCGACTTTGCGCGCTTTTTACTGTCCTGGACACACCACAGACCACATGGCTTTTGTGTTGGAAGAAGAAGACGCAATGTTCACGGCAGATAATGTGCTGGGACAGGGTACGGCGGTATTCGAAGATCTAGCAACGTACATGAAGAGTCTCGATGCCATGGCAAAGCAGTTCCATGGTCGCGCTTACCCCGGTCACGGCCCCGTCATTGAAGACGGCCCGGCAAAGATCACAGAGTACATTGACCACCGCAAGCAGCGCGAGAAGCAGGTTCTGGACGTATTGGCTGGGGACGATAGTGGGGCGGGCATGGAGTCGATGGACATTGTCAAAATCATATACAAAGACTATCCTGAAAGCCTTTGGCTGCCTGCAGAGAAGGGAGTATTGCAGATCCTGGATAAATTAAACCAGGAAGGGAAAGTTCGTGGCGCGAAGACTTGGTCGCTGAGTGGAAAGTCTAGTCTCTAGTCGAGCCAATGATAGCTAATTTGACATGGAGATTCTTCGATAAGCGCTGCAAGGGCTGGATTTCGCCCCACTCAACCACCTAACTTGTCACGTCATGTTGAGCTTTGGCGATGGGCTTCTACTCCTCTTGCCTCCATCTTGGCACACTCTGTATATATTGATCATTGTTTTATGTTTCTTCATCGAATCATCAGTCGCGGTGCCAGAGTGGTTAATGGGTTAGACTTGAATTCCCATATTCAGTCATCTAATGGCTTCGGCCTCGCAAGTTCGAATCTTGTCCGCGACGTTCCTTTCGTCCAACCACATTCTTTTTGCGTACGGGATGGTCAACCTGGCGTCAAGGTGGGTGTACCTGCTTTTTTTTTCTCTCGCTAAACTTCATTGCACGGCTTAGCGCTCTACAGAACATCATCATGGTAGCTTGCTTTTTCTGCTTTGCTACGAGGGCGCAGAAGATGAGTGTTAGGGGTTTGTACTGCAATCTTCCCATTATCGCAATTTTTTATGGTTTGGGTTATGGGAATCATGGCTCGACGTCGCTGCTGCCTTGATTCTGGATAACTCTTGGTAACATTATAGACTTTCGCGATCTTACAATGGAAGAATTGGTTCACACGGTACCATTACATCAATTATGAACACAAACGTTTCGTGTAGATTGCTATCAAACATTTTATCTATAGAATGCCCTGTAAGATCTGCTTGATAATTGGCAAGTCTCGCTCGACATTCGTCTGCCAGTTTGACACCGCAAAACGACATGCTGGTTTCCCTTCCCACGAAGTACCTGATACGTAGATCTTCCTCGTAGCCTTGATCTTGGTAACAAGTTGCTTGTTCAGCGCTTCGTCCTTTGCGCGGAAGATTACGATAATGTAGATGCCATCCAAGATTTCTTCATGAGAAGCATCTTTTTGTGGCAACAATTCATACTCGCTGCTTTCCAGGATGTATTGTGCAATACCGCGCGACAATTGTATCTGCCGCTCCAGCATATCCCGATAGCCGTCTCGTCCATAAGCTACCAAGCTAGCATAAACCGGCAGGGCTCTGAACCGTCTAGAGTTCTCCAGACCAACGTTTAATGGCGACATGATGCTATCCGAACCATTGCCAGAAGCAAGGTAAGCAGCGTTGGGGTTCTGGAACACGCGTTCGGCCATGTTGCGATGTCTGGAAAGGAAGAAGCCACAGTCGTAAGGTACGTTGAGTAACTTGTGTCCATCACCGGTTATTGAGTCGGCCAGTTCCAAGCCATCGCATGCTTGTATGATGGAAGAATAGGCAGGAGATGAGAGTACCCGGCCAAACAAGCCAAACGCCGCATCAATGTGTATCCAGGCGCCATACATGTCGCACAGCTTTCGTAACTCCTGCATCTCTTCGAGACCTGACGTTGCAAAAACCCCCGTGTTCACCTCCGAGGCCGAGATAACCACGATAGATGCGGCGCCAGGTTGCTCCAATGCTTTCTTGAGCAGATTCATGTCGAACTTGTGAGGTACATCTGAGCAGCCAAGGCACTTTACGCTCGCTCGCCCAAGGCCCAGGATGCTCGCAGCTTTACTCAGAGATGAATGGGGCACCGTGGTCAGAACCTGGATATCGTCGATGCCGGCTGTCCGCATAGCGTCAACGATGCCAACTTCGCCAACGCTGTTCTCCGCATCCGTACGGTGTGCCGAAGCTTCAGCAATCACGTATTCCCGCCCACAAGCGAGACCTAGTACGTTGGCTGCTGTTGCGCCCGTAGTGAAAATGCGGTGCGGCCATTGCCCAGGCTCAAAGTTCAGCAACTCGCAGAGCAAAGACAGTGCTCGATCCTCTAGGTCTGTGGCGATGGTCTCGTTCGGCAGGTGCACTTGTACGTTCTGGTCGTATGCTGTGACTAAATTGTCGGCAAGAGCTGCTGCTTGGTTGGTACCGCCGGTCACGAAGCCGTAGTAGTTTGCGGAGCGAGACGAGGCGTTGAATCCTGGTGCGAGGTCTTCTCGCAGGTGGCGTATGCTTTCCTCCAGGCCTACCCCTTGAGTTGGAAGATGAGGTTGGAGTTTAGAGCGAGCGCTGCTCAGTGTAGCTCCAGACGGGAGGACATGTTCGGGCGATGGTTGGGAGTGAATTGTTGCAACCGTAGCAGCAAGCTGTTCGAACGTTTCCTGACTTCGAGCGTCCATCATGGGGGCTTGTTATCGCTTGAAATTGGAATATATAGCCCAGTAGCTGCTACCACTAGCTGGACAAATACAGCGGCTTTGGTGGTGAATGCAGACAGTAATGAAACCGTACACTGGTGGCCACAATGGACCAAAGATTTTCAAAAGGTAGCTGTATTATGGATGCGAATTGAAAACAGGGGTGTGGCGATGCAGAAGTCTAGCAATTCACGGGAAGTAAGATAGGCCTGAGTCTAATCAAGATCAAGTATCAAGTCATCAGGCCTACCAGAAGCGATTCATGGCCCGCCCATGCATAGGGCGGCCTAACCATCTATATCCTGAGGGTATGAGGCTAGCGGAGTCCACGGATATTCCAGGTTATTGGTATCCAGGTTTCCATCACGCTATCTCCGTATTCAGGCAGTCGTGAACAACCGGCAAGTCTGACTCCGTAGCGGCAAGGTGGAGTCGGCATCTACACGTGACTTGGTGCTAGCGCGGCGCGTTGCGGACTTAGCACAACACGTCCTACGATGCCAGCCAAAATGTCGCCACCACCACGCCTATAGACCCGCGGCACTATTGCAGATGCACGTGTAGAACATCGATGCGGACCCTCATGCCAACTATGCGACGCTCTCATGCCTCAGAACAATCTCAGTAAACATCTCAAGTGGTTGCTCGCCGAGAAGCCCTTCATTCCGCCCGCGATATCGCTCGTTACATACGACCCCGAAGCAGATCCCGCGAGTTCCGCGACAATCCCAGAACACACTTCTTCCTTCTTGGACGCACAAATACCATACGATGAGCCTGAAGCTGCCTCCGCGCCACATCCCCCATCTACCTCCAGACCCATCCCACCCCGCAATCTCACTCGGACCAAGACAATCGATATACACAATCCTCCGGAGACGGAGGGCGCGACCTTGGATATGGCAAGACTGAGGGGTACGCCAGCAAGTGGAAAGCCTAGACTTGTATTAGCGGGGCTACCAGAGTATGCATCGCCCTCCGCGGCAGCGAGTAGGGAAAGACAAGATAAGCACAGCATATCGGAGCCAGGAAAGACTGCCAGGAAAGATATCAAGGATCGAACGCCTAGTGCGCTGAAGAGCAATGGGCGCATGGAAGTGCCGGCTTCACAGTCTAGGACGGGTGGAAAGAACCGCCTAGAGCCGATCGATGTTGATTCAATCGATCTCACCGGTGATGATGCCTCTCGCTCGTCGCCAGTTCCGACGCGCACTCCCAAAGGACGAAAGCGGAAGAGTGAAGAGTACGAAGCAGACTTGCGACGCAACAAGTCTCCCAGACCAACCCGGGCAGCTCCTGCGTTCAGTCCACAACCCGACGATGACGACTTTCCCGATATCGACGATATGGTCATGGCTCCGCATAGCCCGCCGCCACCTTACTCCACAGTTGCGAAAGGTGAAAACCACCCACCAGGGCAAACCACGACCGCCGAGGATGACGATATGGAAGCAATGTTACAGTTGGAAGAGGAGGAGCGGCAGAAGGAAGAGGCAGAACAGATAGCGTCTACACAGCTCCGTAAGCGAAAGTCTCTGAGCCGTGTGCCATCAGACATTGCCCCGGCTCGCAAGATAGGGAAACAGACTCGCAGTCCTACTCTGCGAAAGACCAAGCCTCACACGGAAACAACCGCAGCTGCAACACCGAAAACTAAGCGCGCGCGCACGCCTGCTACCCGCAGGGTTGAGCATGCAGTGATGGACTCTGAGGATGAGGAATTTGGCACAACGGACGATATGGATGTTGACACGCAATCCCGGACGAAATCACCAACACCAGTCAGGACAAAGCTGCGTGAAAGGACGCCCGTGTCAAACTCGGTCATTCCCGCAAGCCAAACCCAGCTCCCCATACGTTCACCATCGAAGACAGTACGAAGCCCGAGCCCGTATCAACATGCACAGGATTCTATTCCTACTCCAGCGAAGTCGCAGTCACCTAAGAAGAATGCCAAAGCCGCAGCTACGCCAGTATCAGCACCCAGCAAACCCATACCGAGCTCCTCCGAGTTATCCAAGGAAAGAAAGGACGCTATAAAGGAAGCTATCAATACATTTCTAGAAACAGAAGGCAAAAGACTGGAAAGCCATCTCAGTGCTGCGAGTTCGGCTTGGGATAACGCCCGTGCTGCGTTTGTAGCTCATCTCTCCGAGCATGGAAAGCCCGATCCAAGCGAACAGGAAAGGATGGAACGCGCCCGCTCACGGAAAGTTGCAGTAGAGCAGTTGATGGCATTGAAGACCAAATGCGACGACCATGTGGCGGAGTGGACAAAGGTGAGAAAAAAGTTGGATGACGACTTGAACATCGGGCAATTCGACCTAGCAGATGGTGAAACCATCAATAGCCTTTTCAAGACTATCGAAGATATCAAGATACAAATGTACTACCTGTTGGAACCGGCGGCCATCAAGCAGCAGCCTAAGCCTGTTGTAAAATCAGAATTCAAGAACAGTCGTAACGTGGTCATACAAGCAACCCAGGCAAGCCCAGTCCGATCAGTCCGCAAGGTTTCTAGAGAAGTAGGGCCAAGTCGCGTCCCCCAGACACAATACGCCAAACACAATGACGCTCCTGTTCAGGAAGTATGGACGCCGACCCGCCGCATACGTTTCGCCGAAGAGCAAGTGGCCGCCTCTCCATTACCGCCTCCAGATCCAGGTGCCCATGCCCACAGAGACCGTAGTGCATCAGGTAAACAGGACTCGAAGTCCAGAGAGCGCTCCCATCGAATACCTGAGACTCCCGAGCGCCGTCGTTCTCCAAGAAAGCCGCAGCCAGCAATTCATCAGGATACGCCAGACGAATTCGGAGAATTGGATTTGGAGGAAGATGAGAATCTATTCAGCAACAACATGGGGGAGCTTCATCAGCCTATTGAGATTGATGACGACGATTTTGGCGAGGATTTTGGGGCGGATGACGATGACGATTTCCTCCATGAAGTTAGCAACATCGAGAACCGGGCACCGGGTGGCTTCGACTGGAAAGGCGAGCGTGCGGATCCCAACCCATCAACACATACCCGGGATGTATTCTGTGAGACTTCGACGAACAAAGTTCCACCTAAACAAAATCAGCAACCATCGCC